ATTCCTTATGGCTGGAGATCATTCATAGGCCCCCGAAACCAAATCCATCCAGCTCGTGAGCCAGTGCACAATAGTGGATGTCTCTGAGGATGGGATTATGAGATTTGCGAAGATTGCAAAAGCCGTAGTTCAAAGAATCGGTGCAACTTCTGAGGAAACCACAACTCCAACATCTAGAACCGGCGTCTCTGCCCTTCCTATATTTAAAGGCCATGAGAGAAGAAGATTGTGAAAGCTATCCTTTCTCTAACTATTGCGAAGGACACAAAAATTGCATACAGCTAACGTATTGACGAGAAATCATCCAAAACACCTTAAGGATAGTTCAAGGGGTTCAAATCCAAAAAAGACTCCAAACCATTACGTGCAATCGGGGAAGGAGCTCTGGTTTATTTATTCGTTTATTCATTATTTCGTAGCATTGACAAGTAAGGCTAGGTCATCTCTGGACAGCTCTCCAGAGTTCTGCCTCTTTGCGTGCTACTCTTGCAGGACGAAGACAAGCTGACGGCCGGATGCAAAAATGCAGGGTATTGTGTGTCACTAACTGCTTGGCTGATGTCAAAGAGTCCACACACAGTATTTGTGAAGTCAACCCAATCTACTGACACCAGACATATAATGGCCATTGTACCACATCTAGTGGGAAAGTGCCTAGGTATACATAGACCTGTCTGAAGGGAGCATTCTTTTCCAAAGCACTTAAAGAAAATAGATCATCAGTGTTGCTGCCTTCTGACAACGCCCGCTGGCCTTTCGATGGTGGATTTGCGAGAGATAGTCTGCACTGACTTTTCCCACGTTATGCTAGAAATCGACTGCGTCCTCAAGGGAGCCATTACTGGCCCTGGTGCGGTTGATGACAAGACCGGTACAAAAGTCTTAGCTTTCTCTTGTTTGTTACTGCAGGACGGAACGATTCGCATCAAGGAATCTCTCCTTTGGTTGAGGTGTTTTATCGGTCGAACGTAGAGCTATCGCCAGCACACGAAGTGTTAGCTTCCTCCTTTACTGAAACGGACGTTTGCTAATATTAGGAAGTCTCAAAGGCAACAAACAGGGAGTTCACGCCAATGTACGGTTCATAACTCTGAAGAGGCGCAGGGGCGGACTCGTAATCGCATTCTTGGTAATCTTATCAGAGCCCTTGGCCGGCTGGAATCGAAGATTACCAACGCTATTGGAGTGCAAATTACAGCAAATTTTTTTGAATAAGTTTCATGACCACTCCTCAGCCCACGAACTCGGTAGGGTGAACGGTCGTTGGCTGACTCAAGAAGTTGGTTCATTTGCACCCGCAAGCGATCGGAATTCAGTCATAAGCAAAGAGGTTTCGGGAGCTATGGGTCGCCTGCGTTCTGTCGGACCTCAACAGTTTGCACCTTTCCTAAGATTGCTTACCCCCCAAAGGAGGATAGGCGCATATTTGACGTCAGGCGACGACTTTCGTACCCCATTAGTTGGCCAAATATGCAGACGGTGCCAAGGCGTAGGTGCAGTCGACGGATTCAAGAGGACAAATTACGTCGGAAGGAGTCATTTAATGTATACGATGGCGCACAGTAGTAATCAATTCAGCAGATTAGTCACATCTTGGTAGCATCAAAGAATTCAACGGGTCTTGAGCCAACGACCCTCGCAGAGTGCGGGACACCCTTGGGCACGACCAGTGTGTCACCGTCTTTCAGAACCACTGTCTCGCCGAACATTGTGAATTCCAGTTCACCGGAGACAACGACATCCTTCTTGTCAACATTGTGCGAGTGTTCTCCAAAGACCATTCCAGGATTAAATGTGTACGGGATGCAACTATAACCCTAGGAAAACGAAAGTTTCGGATAAGAAAGGGAAAATGACAAGACTAGAAAAGCTTGAGAAAAAGCTTAACTGAGGAGGGAGCAACCCCCAATAACTGTAGTGAGACAAAAACTTACCTCCTTTTGCATTTTCGCTTCCATTGTTTTGCGTGAAAGAACACCGTCAACGGCCTGATCCCAATGACCAACGATCAATTTGCTCATCTTAGGAAACAAAAAAAAAGATTTCCAAATTCATAATTTTATTAGTCCAGGCACACCATCCTGCCCAATCTCGACACCATGCTGAGTTAAACTGTGTGCAGCCCGGGTCTTTTCATCGTGAAAAACTTCGGGACAGGTTTTAAGAACACACTTAAGCTAAAAGAGTTTTCGATTAGTACAAACATACCACAGTCTTGAAAAAACCGGTATGACGACTCGAACGATGTATATCAAGATAGTAATTTGAAGGGAAGTGAACCCTACATTCCGTGCACACGAAGCGGTGCGAACAAGTGTAGTGAGTTTCAAGAACAGCCGCATCCGCAGCTAGACTCGCACACTCACCGATCCCGCACTCAAGTAAATCACTAGGCAAGTTATAAGGCTAAAATGGTTACTTATTGCGTGCGAAAGCGCACGTGCCAAAGGGTGGCTCAAAACCACTACTAAGTTTAGAAATCCTGTAAAACAGGCTTGTAGATATGGCTCCAGGCATCAAGACTAGTTTTTGTGGGGAAAAAGGTACACAATAAGCTCCACATGGACACGCAGACGTGTCTGCAAACCACTGGAAAAACTATCCACATATAAATCTACAGGAAATAACTCACCTTAACCGACAACTGGGAAATAGTAGGAAAAGGGGCGATGCGTTAACTAGAGCACTTGCGGATGCACTCCAATAGCGCGCGCAAACCAAAGGACCAAAAAGTAAACGGACAAATAAAATGTCGATTAGTTTAAACAAACAAACGGCAAAGAATGGTATGCTAGAAAAGCTAAGGAATATGGTAGTCAGAGTGATAATGCGATACCAAATTACCTTTCAATAACGGCATTTCCAACTGACTCTTAAGTATCATCCGTTTCCCGTAAATTCACCATTCATGTACACATGTTATTAATGACAGCAGTGTTGGACGTTCTGCTGTCAGACTAATGCCCGTAAAAAGAGCAAAAAGTCCGGTGACGTCGGGAGTTTTCACATATGACGGCGAAATCTGTACCATATGTTTCGGACTCATCCATAAATTTTCGAAAATGGAGGGGAGTTAAAAGTTAAAGGTGCGGAGCTCAATTTCAAAGATAAGTGAAACTTTGTATTTACTAGGATATTCTTAAGCAATTAATGCCTGTTTTTTTGCTTGAGTCCCTTTTAAAAGTCACCTGTCAATACAAGATATAATTTTTCTCAACTTGATTTGACAGTCTGGCAAAATAGTCGTATTTTGTAAAAAACCTTTGTAGTGCCTCCTTTCCAGACTATCTCTTTCTGGTTTTGGTAGTTAAATAACAAAAGTATTGCTATCCAGTGCATTTTTCTGTATGTTAGCAACGTTTTGATCCTTGTACTGTAACGAAAAACTTATCCTGTCTGTAATGCCCCGCAGAGCACGTGCTACAAGACGAAAGCTTGCGGCCTCCCCACTGTCTATGGGTGCTAGAATTGTGACTGAAGACATAGTAGGTGCCAGTATATGTTCTTCGCCTTCTGCAGATATGAGTTACTCACAAATCCCTTTAGTACATGTAGAACCTCTTGACCCTTCAATCGTCCAAAAATACGCCTCTGCCAGTCGTAGCAGGCCATCAGCCGACGAAATACTCGAACAGTTGATATATGGCGACATAAACAGCAATTCTGAAAAAGCAATTGAACAAGCTTTTAAACTTGTAGGGATAATAAGTTCGGAAACTGAGGAAAGAAGTATTATTAATATTATTAGTTATTATTAATTAATTAATTAATTAAACACAAGCATAATTTTGTACTGCGAAACATTGAGAGCCGCTTATCTGCTATGGAGGGAGCGCATTTGTTCCTACAAAGTTGTAGCTTGAATTCCAGTGTCGCATAAGCTAAACGACTGCGCTCGCCTAGCCGTAATGAGCCGATCCTAGTTGCCCTTTTCTCTTTGATAGAAGTCGATGTTATCTTGTCGAGGAGGGAGATAACTAGAGAATTCTGCCGTAAATGGCGCTGCTCCGTTTCGCCACACCTCACACCGCTGCAGCGAAGACTGAATAAATTAAAATCAGCAAAAACCAACACCAGGATAATGACACCTACTGTCAGTTTTAATAAGTCCTTTACAACACTATCTGCGGCCTCTGCACGTCACGACATAGTCAAAACCGTAGGGGATTTGACTACTATTGATGCTGAGATCTTTAGAAGCAACAACACGCCTGGTATACAAACGCCCCTAGCGACTCCTTCAGCAACCCCTAGTAAGCTTAAGCATGTGCCTAAGTCAAAGGCAAATCCAATTGCTGTCTCAGCCACTCGGACATCCAATAAATCCAGCACCATAGTAAAATCTTTTCCTCCACAACCGGCTATCAGTGCCTCAAATACCCCGATTCAAAACGTAGCGTGTTCCCAACTGCCCACCCCCAGCCCTCATATCGAGGCAGTTAGGCCGAATATGCCGATTTTCCCGCCGTTTAATAGAACTCTTGCTCCAATGGAAGCAATGCGTCCCCCATCCCCTAACTTGTTTCCACCACGGCCGTTTTACCAATGTATTCCTCACACTAGTGTCCATGCTGGATCAGTTAACACATCCGATCCTCAGTTTCGTTCCTGCGGGAATACGTTGCAGTATCTGGCCCGCGGATTTCCAGCAGAAAATGAGTTAGTTATCAATGGTTACAAGTTTACCTGCCCGTCATTCCCTCCCCCCAAATCCTACCCCTTGTTATCAACGTCAGAATTTTTTGATGCCACAAAATGTTTTGCAGAACCGGATGGTTACATGCGGACCGTTTGCTCCATGGGCAGACCAGCACTGGACGATGTAGCCCACCTCCCTCAGAAAAAAACAGCCTTTCCCTTCAAACTTTTTGTTTTAAATGCCAGATCCTTGCTTAATAAGATGCCTTTGCTTCAGACTTTGCTGTTCGTCCATTGTCCGGATATTGCTTTAGTAACTGAGACATGGCATCAGCCTCCGTAGCTGACTCCGAACTCCCTCTTATAGGCTATAATGGCATTCGAAATCATCGCCAAGGTAGCCGTGGTGGGGGCAGTTGCGTCTACGTTAAGCAAACGCTTACATTTTTCCCGCTGGACCTCCCTCATTTTTCCGCGGTAGAAGGCAGCTGCTGGCTCCAGGTTGCAATAAAATATAAGTTCTCCTTATTCGTTGTCTGCGTCTATCGCCCCCCCAAACGCCAACAGAAATTATGATCGTTTTCTCTCGCAGGCATTTCATGCTGCGGCCGACTCAAGCTTTAAGTATCAATTGGTTGCGGGGGACTTTAATCTCCTTGTAGTCCGCTGGTCTCCGCCTTCAGGTCCCAGAAAGTTCGAAGACATTCTTAAGGATGTGGATGTTGGAATGTGGAATCAGGTTGTCGCTTTTGCGTCCATACGATCAAGCATGCATCATCTTATTTTCTGTAGAGGCTGTATATCTTCGTTTTTGTCATCCCTTGGCCCACTCGGGGGCTCAGACCATGACATAAGTGTTTCAACGTTGGAATACGAGGCTGACAAATCGTTGTCACCAAAGTATAACCTTTTCTGCGATTTCCGATCAATTCGCTCAACCGAATTATTAACACACCTTAATTCCTACGACTGGACTGATTTCTTCCTTAGTACGGATGTAAATATATGCACTGCAAAACTGTCCGAAATTTTGGATCAGCTTACTTCTCGCTGTGTCCGCCGTAAGAAAATTATAAATTTTGGGGATGAGGTTTTCCTACCCTTACCATTTCGTCGCAGATTGCGCAGATTTTATCGTCGATTCCATCTTCAGAACGATGTTTCTGTCCTTTCCTTGATTTGTGATATTTTTGAGCGGGCTAAGAGATTGTCTGAAGAGAAACAGCTAGCCGAGGAGGTCCAGTTTACCGAAAACCATTCGTTAAGTGTCTCGAAACGTTTCTCTAGAAAAATACGAACTCATAGAAAGACGCAGCATCACATCCTCCGAGACGCTCTCGGAAATCCCATAGTTGATGCCCAGTTAATCGCTGATAGCTTCAATGATTTTCTGTCCAAACTGGTTATTGAATACTCGAACACTCCAATTCCGATCGTCCAGGCATTGACCGGGGCAGTTCTGGAAACTATAACTTTCACTCTGTGGGATGTGACTGTTGCGATTCGGCGTTGTCGTCAATCTTATAGTCCAGGACCTGATGGTGTCCCAGTAAGCATTTTAAAAGCCGATGCAAACACGATTTTCCCATCCCTCTTATGCAATATATTTAATCTTGCTCTTGAATGCGAAACTTATCCTACCTTGTGGAAGGAATCACACATTTTGCCCATTCCTAAGCACGGCAAATCTACGTCATTTGATGACTTTCGGCCAATAAACACCCTCCTCGCAGTTTCGAAGATCTTAGAGACATTGATCGAAGATAAAATTATGTGTCACTTAACAGAGAATAACCTACTGAGTGCGGCTCAGCATGAATTCCTCCAAGCTCGGTCTTGTGACACCTGTCAGCTCACTTTGACTATTTTCTCCAATATAGGGACAATGGTTTTGCACTTAACGCAGTATATTTCGATTTCACTAAGGCTTTTGATCGTGTTGACCATGCTCTTCTTCTCTTGAAACTGTCCTCTTTCGAAATAGGTGGCAAACTTTTGAATTTTATATCCTCTTACCTGGACACTCGTCCACAACGTGCTAAGATTTCCAAAACCATCTCCAACCCCACATGTGTGAGGAGTGGAGTCATTCAGGGTAGTGTACTCGGCCCGCTTTTATTTTGCCTTTTTGTTAATGATGTATCCGATTTATTTCAGAATGGTAAGCCTTTCATGTATGCCAATGATCTTAAAGTTGCATATCGATATAAGCCGACAGATCATGACATCGTGCTTGAGCTCCTAAAGAGCGATCTACAGGCTTTCGCCCAGTGGTGCCGCATATGGCGCCTCTCTCTTTCCTGGCATAAGTGTTCAGTCATGGTGGTTGGCGACGACCGCCAACCTCAACTAAGTATTGACGGTCGCGCCATAAATGGGTCTGGGGTTATTAAGGATCTGGGCGTATCATACTCCAAGAGCCTCATCTCTCGGAGCACTGTG